GCGACAGCCCCGACGTGCCGCTACACCGGCGTCCCCTCGCCCTGCGCCTCCTGCTCCTTCGCAGCTTTTGCTTGCTGCTCTCTTCGCTGCTTCAGCCTCTCCTGCGCCTTCAGCTTCCGCACCTCCTGAAAAACCTGCAGGAGGAGGAGGAGGTGAGAGAAGGGGAGGGACGGCTGCCTGCTGCTGAGCACAGCTGCTCCACCACCTGCAGCACGGATCCCAGCTCCTGCAGCGGAGGCCCGGTGGGCACAAGAGCAACTCCCCATGCGCTTCCTCCAGGGCTCCAGCCAGCCCGGTTTTAGGGTGCCCATCGGAGGTCTCCGTTACAGCCACCCAGTCTTTTGGTGATAACTTCACTGGACTGAAATTTAACATTTACAGACTGGAGGCACATCCAGCTTTTTGATTCTGCTCAGTTGCACCAAGATGTATTGCACACAGCTGTTACACCCATGTATTTAGAGCAACCGAGAGCAGACAGCGGGCACACCCACTTCCGTTCCAAAGCTGCCATCCAATTTAACTGTCTCCCATATTAGTCCCTACACCAGGCTTTGAAACAAAGCTGGTTTGAAACACACGTTTCTGAGCAAACTCATAGCACAACCCGAAGTTCTCAAGCACAGCACGTGTCACTGCCCACTACACAACTGTCTTTCGTAGAGCTCTTTGCCAAGCTTGTGCATTTCTCCACAGACATTATCACTGTCTCCTCAAATTATGGATTAAAACGATCTATCAATCAGTCTTTTCTTAATTGCGCCCTTCCATAAAGCGACTTCTTTCCTGCTCCAGCTACATGGCACTCTCAGATCACCCCATACCTTGATGCAGAAGGCCTTCTTCACCACCCAGCGCTTGGTGATCCTCCGGGTGTAGGGCGGGCGCGGGGTGTACTGGATGTTCAGCTGCTTGCAGGTGTTCTCAAAGGTGTCGTAGCGGACGCGGCGGAGATACGCCAGCAGCTTCTTCCGGCGGTCTATGTCCATCAGCATGCGGCGACGGTTATTTTTGTCCTGCAAAGGGCCAAACGTTCACTAGATTGCAGACAGATTATACTTCCATCCCAATAAATTACTTAGAGTAGAGCAGATTATGGCTGAAAAGAAACAGTCAGGTTAAGGACAGTATCTTAGAACAATTTTTCTTGGCAGATACTGCAAGCACATTAGGTCACTACAAGGAGATCCGAGAAGACTTAATTTACTTTTCACTGAAATTGCTTTCTTCATCCTGTGTCTGCACTTTCCTCCCCAACCTTGGGGACTTGTTCTCAGCTCATACACAGTTCCAGGTGGTGGCAAAAGCTGCAGTGGCTTGGAGGCAAAGGCTGTAGGGAAGGTCTACTGGCTAAAACCTCTCCTTCCTCTGAAATGTGTTGTTCCAGAAATAACACGGAAGCATTTACCTTTGTTTTTCCAGAAATTAAATGTGAAAATAAAATGTGACTTGGCTCTATCTGACCATTTGGGCTGTTCTTTGGAAGAGAATATGCATAGCTCAAGCCACGCCATCCAGGGCAATTCCCCACGGGAGAAATTTCCCCATTCTATACGAGCAGTTTGTGTAAAAAACAGGCTTTATCCAATTTTAAAAGGTCTCTTCTGCCAAAACGTTTGGTACAACTTCTAGCTTCTTCTAAAAACTGAATTCTATTCTGTTTTACCCTTCAAGCTTTTATGATTAACAAATAATTATGCACTTTTTAAAGATGCAGTTAATTACTCCATTTCCCACCTTTTGCACTACATAAAGAGTCTTTAATGTATCTTGCTCCTAAACTCGTAGTTGCAATGTTTGGAATTTGGGCTCTCAACTCAGGTAGCTTCAGGCAGGGCAGTGGCCATTGTGACAGTAACACAGTCCCGGCCACTGAAATTTTCATAGGCAGAACAGAGAGAACGCAGCTGCGGAAGTGCGAACATTAATTACCTGGAAAACTAAGCCGTGAAGCCACATCTGCAGCAAGGATAAATTGAGCTCAGGTCTGCTCAAAGGTATCTATCTGCTCAGCCACCGCCACCAACCCAGCAACGAAAAAAGAACACACTCCAAATTTCTGTCAGTGAGAACGTAGCTGTGACTGAGCCAGCAGTTTCCCAGACTGGCTCCAGGCAACAGCTATAACTATTTTATAGACCTTCCTAGGAAAGCCACAACCCCTGGGATTACAATCCCTTTGTTCCAAGCTGAGGAAACCACCTGAACAGCTGCTGTCTCCGCCCTGCGGGCTCGGATTACTGACGGTTACCTTGGGATGCCTCTGGAGATGCTCCTCGTAGGTGCGTATCTTGGCAGTCAACATCGCGACTACAAAGGACAGACAGAAGCAGCCGTGTGAGAGCAGCAGCTTTCCAGAGTGAGACAGGACCACCTGCATTCCCTTCAACTTGCCAGCTGGGGACTGCTGTTCTCCCGGGCACCCGCCGTGCCACAGCGAACACACCGCACAGCCCTCTGAGTGCCCAGCAAACCACTAACTACAACCCACATAACCCGAGCCACAACTGCTACTGTTATGAAGCTGCTTAATTAGAGGTTAAAGTTTTAACAACAGCTCAGATGAATTTAGCTGTTAAATGTTTCTTGCACTCAATTATTGGTGACTTTACATTCATTTCACTGCACTTGGTTTACGCTTTGAAGGAACAGATACAAATGAAGAGGCTCTTTCTAAGGGCAGCAGCCAGCTCTCTGCGATTTCAGGGTTCAGAGAAAGGTGCTGGTGGCATCCCGAGACACTGAAGACCTTTATTAATGATGAAGGAGGGCATCATGGTCAGTGGCAGTGTGGCCTTCACCCCTGTGCTGTCCCTACACTGTGCTTCAGCCAGAGCTCTCTGATGCAGAGGGAAATTTGGGTTCCATGGCTAAATCCAGTAGTTCATTCTGGTTCCGAATGCAGTGCAATGCTTCATGTCATACAAGCACTACGAGCAGAATAATGCACACGCTGCCTTTGGAGGGTGGGTATGAGTAGGAATTTGCAAAGCACCCCAGCAGGGATCTGCTGGAAAGTGCATGCACTGCCTCTGCAGCCTCCCAAACCCTGAACAGACCCCCCAGGGCATGCTGCAGCCCACCTGCCTCTTGGGTGCTCTTCTGAAAGAGATTCTCCTAACTGATCCAGGAAACTCGAAGTGCTGGGGTGGGAACAGCGGAATAAAAGCAGAGATCTATCATCTGCCAACAATATCCTTCTACTTTAACTTACCTTGCACCTCAAAGGAGCCATTGTCGTTGGGAGACCTCCTGACCTTCTCCACCAGCTGCTGTGTCTTTACTTTCATCTTCTCCTTCTGTGGATGACAGAAAAGAGCTTGTTGCTTTCTCAGGAACACCAAAGGTCTGAGGCACACCAGCTCTCTTCCCAAATGCCCAGACAGAGGCTTTGTAATCAACAGCTTTATTCAGTGTCCATCACAGGACGTGTAAAAAGCGACGCAAAAAAAGGACCTGCTGCTTGTAGGACAGTGCTCAGAGTGAAGCAGCACAAAAAGATCTCAGCAGAACACAGAGTCACCATTGTTCAAACCAAAAGTCCAGACACACCTTCGATCCAAGATTACAGAGGAAGAGTGTGGAAGAGGCCCCGCTGCTTTCATCAACGGAAGCGAGAACTGAAGCTGGTCTCACACGGAAGTAGCTTTTACTTTTTGCATCTTTTTAAGCTTAGGTAAGCAGCAAGGAATGGTAAGATCTTTGTGCTGCCTTACAACTGGCAAGGTAATTGTGCTGTTTTATGGGCATGCAAGAAGTGAAAGTGATGTGAAGAACATCTGCTGCCTGGTGTACCATTTTCTAGAACACAGGCCAACCATCAGCAGTAACACAGCACAGCTCATCTGCCCTACTACTGCCTAATATTCTCTTCTCTCATTCAGTACGCGTGATTATCATAAAGACGACTGCACGAAAAATCTTAAGAGCATACATGACTTACCACTCTGATGTATCTAACAGCCCCAGATTTGCAGTGACCAAGCAACACTTACAGTAAGTGAAAGGCACGTAACAACACAGACAAGTCTTACACAAACGTGGTCACAAATCTCATTTTTTTTATGCAAGTAGAATGAAACTAACCTGGCTTGCCATTTCCAGTGACAACAGTCTTCTCACTACATCGTCAACACTGCAAGGAGATTGCAGATTAGTTTGTAAACTAGAAACAAAGTACATTGATCACCACAAGTGAGGTTAGGTTTTCAGAACACGTTGACTTTTCTCAACTTTAACTGACTCTACAACCTTACAGCAACCCTCCTCCCTGCCCAAACCTGTCAGCCATAAACTGTTTCTTGCATTCCGAAGAAAAATCATGGCTGAGATTACAGAAGCACTGAGTAGTTTTGCTGCTGTGGTACGCAGTTATTTCAAACAATGCTGAAGTCTTATCAATTCCAAACACGTCACATGCAAACTGGGTGCTGAAGACTAACCCCTAAGTAAGTGCACAAGGACAAAATAATTAATTTCAAGACTGGCTCCTCCAAAGAGCTGTGCAAGTCTCAGTTATGCCACTGGGGGCTCTCCATGCACCACACATGAGCATTTCTGGAATCAAAGCACAGAAATGCTAAACAGCAGGTCCACATGTCAGAAGCAGCTACTCATTTTGAGCTATTCACTCTCTAGCATCTGAGTTCAGGACAGGCACAGATTATTTCTAGTATTTCAAGATTATTTCTTTTTTCTATGGACCACCAAGTCCACAGAAGACATGGGCAATCAACACTTGACCCTGCATTAACTAAACAAGCCCCTTACATAACCCTGATCGGCGACTGCTTTTGCAAATTTGACTTTCCAAACGACTTTGCAATTTTTATGCTAAATTGCATACCAGTGACCACAGAGCATTAATTAACTACTGAGCAGGTGACAGCTTCCACGTCTTGTGGTCGTGTGTGTGTACGATACAAATCTCTGAACAGTCATTCCCTCTCCCTGTACCATACCTATTGATTATCGGGACATTGGCATAATCTTTCTTGAGCATTGTTGGAGGGAGATCATCCAAATGGCTGGGGATGTCTACAAAGAGAAGATTAACGTCTGAGAAAGGGCAATACAAAGTCGGAGCTCTGAACATGCTTGCAAATTACATCAGAGGAAACAAGCTGCAAAGAAAACAGACTGTATTCTCCAAACAAGAAGACGGAGCTTAAGAGATCAAGCTGAGACAGCAG